TGTATTAACTTGTCTGAAGTGCTTCGTTGTGTGCTGCCACAGAGAAACTCAGGAACTGGCAAATTAACAGAGGTGCTGCTGGACTTTATTTGACTAAGTAACTGATATCAAGAAAAAGCACCTAAATTTTGAGCTTGAGTGCATGTGCAGGATTCTGTTTGCAGCTGTATAACTTATTAGTAATGAGGAGTTTTTCTCAATCTGTAAAAAAAAAAAAAAAAAAAGTTTGTTGTTCCTTCTGCTACAGTCTGTGGGGTTTTTGCTTAAGCAGAATGTTGCATCTCTACCTTACTGTAAAGGGCACATGAAATGTTCATGGGGATTTTATGTTTGGGACTGATATGGTATAGTGTTTGTTCCCTACTGACACTACTTGTCTCGGTACTTTAATTTTTCCTTTGAAATGGAAAAAAATACCATAGCTGTACTGCACAGAACAAACAACCTAGATTTTCTAGTCATTCTGTATGACAGTCATATTTGTTTGAGATTATTTTTTGTCCTCAAATCCAATTTCTTTGTCCTTGACAGTGCGAGATCTATACTCTCTAGTGCAAATTTACTAATCAAACTTTAATGTATGTTTGGATGGAAAGTTGAGAGAGAACTCTTAAACACTTCATTCAAAGGTAGTCTCATTTCAATATGACTTCACAGCAAAAAGTTTTTCTGCAGTAAGAATGTTTCTAAGAATTTAAATTCAGGAGTACGCTTTAAATTGTCAGTCATGACAAAAATTGTAGATTTTTACAGCTGGCAGTGTGTAACCAAGCTAGAAAGCACAGCGTAGCTTGCTTTCACAGTGCAATTACTTTTTGCATTGCTTGCAAACTTATTCTTAAGGAAGAGTTTATGTGTCACTGAGCCACAGGACAGTTTTCTTGCAGAGGATGAGCTCCAGAAGAAAACAGTGGACATGCTGCATAGGCACTAGGGAGTTCTGCAGGTAATATTTAGTTGCAGTACCTGGCTTTTCTGCTGAAAATGAGGAGCTTGTGAGCAGCTGTGAAGGTTTTCCACAGTTGTTTGAGAGGACTCTCTAGGTTGCCTACTGGGCTTCAGACAGAAGAATAACTCTTGATAAGGGTAACCCTAACTACCATTCTCAACTGGAACAACACTAATAGCTTTCTCAGCTTTCATAATATAGCAAGCAGTTGAATAAAAAGCACTTGAGTGTGTTTTCACTCCTTTCGCCTTATTTTTTCCACTCCTGTTTCCTAGCATTGCTTAAAAACTAGCCATCAAGCAGTCTTCTCTGCTTAGAAGCTCAATAAATGTTTTGATAAAAACCTGAGCAGTTTTAAACCTCTTGCTGCAGAGGCTCAGCTCAAGATGCAGTCCGATTGATTCCCAGCACAGCTGGGTCACCAGGTGCCAGTCTGAGACTGCTCCGAGGGAATTTTCCTCTGCTGATGTATTACCCAGCAGGCAAGCTACTTCAAATCACTGATGCTTACCTCCACAGGGACTGGACACATCCAGCAGATCAGAGCCAGGCACGGCTTATCTCCCTCATCGTTGTCACAGGCTTGTTTGTCTTAACGAGACAGGAGCGATTGTTCCTTGGTGCTTGAGTCATCTTGAGCCCTAATCATATCTGATGTGTGGGGAGAGACTGGAGCCCGTGCGAGCAGGGATGCAAAATTAGGGGAGCGATGCTGTAAAGCGTTCTGTTACATCTCTCTTAAAGCTGTTATGCTTTAGAAAATCGTATTCAAAAGGTGTTGAGGTAGGAGTGCTTTCCAGGGCTGGAGATGTGTTTTGAGATTGAAGCTGCTTTCAAGATGAAACAAGCTGTCGAGCCATGAGTCACGATGTCAGCACATAGCCAGGGGCCTCGCACGGGAAGTGGCATCTGGAAGTTTCATTGCTTGGGGTATGTTTCTTCCCTGGAGCATGAGGTTACTGTTTGCACAGTTATAAGCAGAATCTCAAAGTAGGCTCTAAACTTTGTTTATTCTTATTGGCTTCTTGACGGTTATGAGAGCAGCCCCATTCTGCCTCATGATTTGAGGGGGAATTGAACCAGTGTTCTTCGTGGCACATGCTGAATGGGTTTTGTTAGTGCTTGAGGGGCATTGTACACTTTGTGTGTGTTCAGGGGTATTGTGCCATAAGAAATCTTTGCTGTAGAGCCTGTTGGTTAAAACTTTAAAATTTCCCCCATTGTCTCTGAGCGATGTGTGAGACTTTTGAAACACAAACAAAAGCAAGATGCTCTTCATCCTTGTGCAACAGAGGAATTTGTTCCTTTCGCTCGTGATTGAAACAAGAAGTACTTTGTTTTCCATTTGTTTTCAAAGGGAGAGCTTGCTTATGTAGTTTCAGTCCTCCCTCTTAGCATTGATGCTTGTGTAGGTTGGGAAGTGGTTGTTTTTTTGTTTCATGGACTTCTTTTCAATTAACCTTTGAACTTAGTGTCTTAGTGTATTCCTGCTTCTTTCTTTGTTTACTTTTATAGGTACTGAGTTACTTCAAAAGAAATAATTCACTAACTCCTTAAAATAAATAGCCCCTGCTCTTTATCAGTGGTTTGCTGGAGATCTAGGAAGTAATTCTTGTACAGTCCGTTTGATTTGGGAAGCTGAAGGGCTGTATCTTGGGCCTCTACTGTCTACCTGCACAAATGCAATATGTGGCTCCCCATGGATTGCTGTCATCTGTCCTGTGTGTGAAGCTAAACTTGCAGAGATTCAGAAAACCACTATCTAAAAGGAGCTCTTCTTGCTTCTCAGGTTAGAAGGTGCAGTGTGAGACCCTGGTCATGACTTGATAGTGACAAGATATTCTTTATTGTCATTGTAAAATTCTGACTCATAAGATACAATGGATGAATTGTATTTCAGTCTCTTGGGATCTATTGAAATAGACCTCAGGCTTGGCTTTTCCTCTCTCAAGAAGCATGTTCTCTTCTCCCTTCAGGCCAAAAAGCAGCCATGGTATAACAGCACGCTAGCCTCGCGACGGAAGCGGCTCACAGCTCACTTTGAGGACCTCGAGCAGTGCTATTTTTCCACAAGGATGACACGTGTCTCAGGTGAGTTCCTCCTGCTTGGTGTTCAACTTCTGGCATCATTTACTTTTCACAGTCCCACTCCTCAGAAAAGCATCACTTTTAAGAGAAAAGCCCTTGCTTTTCCCTGCCTGGGTGTGGTTGCTATACGTATGCAGGTGTTACTTCAAGTCATCCCGTGTAGATTTTTCTTGACCAATTTTTGAGGTTTTTAAGCTTATCAAATGTAATACTATTGTTTCAGAGGGGCACACGTGTTGCTCTGTAATGCTGTACTGTGAAGGTCATAACCACTAAATAATTGTTCACTAATCTTTGTTCTGAAGCTGCAAACGTTTGAAAGCAGTGGCTGGGTAGTGTTCTAGACGTGGAATAAGCACAGTCATTAAAACACTTATCAAAATACTTAAGAGGTGAAAACAAATTGATAAATGTTCCCATGCTTAATGTGCAGTACAATATTGGAGATCCAGATTGTGAGTCTTAGTTAACAAATGGCTTGAAGTATAGAAGCTGAGTGTGCAGCAATGTCATTACCCCATGGGGCACACCTTAGATTTAAGACTTGTTTTGTAGAATTAGAAGCTGTTTTCACAATTGCCTAGATTGCCTCATTCATAATTGAGTAACAGTGTGACAGCAGCTAGAGTAATTGTTACATGGTGGATGGATGGTTCTTAATTATATAACAATATTCTCTTTGGAAGTGAACAGGTCAAATAAATGCCTCTTAAGGGAGAGGAAGGTCGCTCTCTGGCTCCCCTGGGGAAGAAGCAAGCTTTGGGAAAAAAGTTTTGTGCAATGGGCTGTGTCAGGCAAGAGATATGCAGCACCAACCAGCTTATGCAAAAAGGGAGAGACTATAGTGAAGAGCAGGGAGCTACTGAGGGTTGAGAAAGAGTCTCAGATGCACAAAAATAATGCAGGCAGAGGCTGCTGCAGCAGAGCATCTTTACTTATAGCTTTGGAAGGCAAGGACCAACCTGTCAGGACATGAATTAGCAAGCAAGCTGGGGCACAAATCCCTGCTCCGTGAATCCTCTGTTAATTTAGTTTGAGGTTTGGCCACTTAAAAATTATCAAGCTTTTAAAAATTATTATTAATAAACAAAAAAAATGGCCTTTTCATGTTTAAAGGCTGTCAGATGTTTTAGGAGAGCTCACTCTTGGGTGGAAGATTGGGACACGTCTGTGTCAGAGCAGTAGCTGACTCAGGTCCTTCCTGCCCAGCAACACAGTTCTAACAAACTGTGGCACGATGGGCTTCAGCAGCTGGAAGATGGGAGAAGGCAGTTGTGTACGACCAGCCAGGCTCCTGTGAGGAGCTCTCAATGTTCTGCAGGCTGCAGTACTTCACAGATCATACAGAGATGCTTCCATGCGTATTATCTTGGTGATACGGAGATGTGTTTTTGTTAAAATAATACATTTATTAACTAAGGATAACAAATTGGACTTTTCCCAGCATTCCCTTGTTGAAGACATCTTTCTTCATAATTGGAACTATAAATATGAATGCGGAGAAACTGTTTTGTTTATGTCTGTGTCAGCTGCACCAAAAGTAGAGGATTTGCTACTGCAGTTTTTGCCCTAAATAAGGGATAACCTGTAATGCTTAATTAGATTTTCTTCTCTTCAAAGTCATTCCTGCTTTTTGACACATTTTAAATAGGATTTAATACGGATATAATGGTTTTTGCAGGAGATGCCTGAAAATCTAGTAAGGAGCAGAGCAGTAATACAGCTGGAATTATGAAATGGCCTCGCACTTTGACGAGGAAAATGTCTTGAGAAATAACATTCTGTTTTGCAGGCATAGATGCAGAATAAATTACAGGAGGACTGTGTGCTTGATCTCTAAATGAGGGAAATGGAAGAGCAGCAGCTATTTGCTCCTATTAAAGTGTCAAAGGAGGAATCAGTCTTTGAAAAATACTTACAGATGTTTACGTACTGCTTCTCGAGCTGTTTTCTGTAGTGGTCAGGTGCTGAGGGTTTAATTTAAAGCAATGCTTTGTTCATTTTGATCTATCTGACATGGGTAACGTATCCATGGCTGTACCCTATAACATGCTTATTACTGAACTTCACTATTTCTTTATGCAATCAAACATTAAACAGCTTGCAGGGGATGCTTCAAAATGCCTTACATTTACAAAGCAAGATCATTTCTAATGGCAAGAAATTACCAAAGTGCAGAAATTTTAGAAATAACTATTGCAACTTTTCTCCTTTTTTTTTATCCCAGTGTTTCCAAAGACTTCCAGTAAGTTGAGATTTATCATTTTCTTATACATTTGATAAGAGAAGCTTAACTGTAGCATAAATTAGTGAGCTCAGCTGCACAGGCAAGTGATGTGTACCTTTCTGCTGCTGCAGTGGATGCTGTGGTTTAATAAAAGGCAAAGTATTCAGTAATGTGACTTGCATACTGGACTACCTAATCCAAGGTGTTGTGTGTTAGAGCTGTCGCTGCTCCCTGAGCTTGTTCTTTTCCATGGTATTGGAGCAGAAAGACAAAGCAAGTAAGACGAGGGGGAATTGCTGCAAATTCTGGGGGTTGTTACACAGCCTGAGGGCTCTGTCTGATCTTTGACTGCAGTTGCTTGATCATATTAGGAAAGCTGGCTTGTCCATGAGACATGGCTGTAAGTTAGGAATTCTTCCTTATATAGGAAATTCTAAATTTTGAAATGGTTGAAATAAAATTCCATTTGTACTGAAGAAAGTTAAGACTTGTGAGGTTTCGGGGAATAATTTTTAGCCATCTATACTGCAATTTAGTTTTAACGTTTGTAGTGAACTGTTCCATTTTCCACAGAATATTCATCATTATTATTCACGCTGGCTCAATTTCATCTTGTCTGCTGAAGGTCATAATTTCACAAAACTTACAGCACGCGGAGTCTTCTGGTTTCATGCTTGTCTCCTTTCTCTAGCCGTGAAACAGGCTCTCCCTTAGCTCTGTTGCTTTTGGAGTAACAAGAGAAATACTTCTTGCTACAAGTATTTTGAATGTAATTGACACCAAATGTAGGCATATTGTACCTGAAGTACAGTTCTGGGGAAAAGAAATATATTTTCACTTCCATAGAATGTTAGACATTCTTTACCATGCATTTTGATGTGCTTAAGCCTTTTCTGTTAATAATCCCTACGGCCCGTAGGCTTTGAATGTGACTAAAATAAGTGAGCTCATCTATCAGTAAAGCATATTTATGATCTCTAGGCAAATGCTCAATGCAGTAGGTTCATTGGAAGGACTGAATTTATGCTCTGAAAATCCTGCTGCCTTGAGGGAATGCCAAAAAGATGAAAGAGAGAACCTATTTTTGACCGAGAATCCTCCCCAAATAACAAGCAGAGGTGGTATCACATGAAGACATGCATCACGTTTGCCGCTGTGTTTATTTACTTCCTTATTCATTTTTCACCCTCTGCAACTCTCCCACCTCTCCCTAGATGACAGCAGAACCACAAGCCAGCTGGATGAGTTTCAGGAGTGTCTATCCAAGTTCACGCGCTACAATTCTGTCCGACCCCTGGCAACGCTGTCCTACGCTAGTGACCTCTACAATGGCTCCAGCATAGTCTCCAGGTGAGAAATATGGTGGCTCTAGCAGTGCATTTCATGGTGATACAGGATGCTGAGGCAGAGTTAATCGCTTGTACAGATCATAACTTGTTTAATAACGCTTTGGCTTCACCAAAACAATTCTGTGATGAATGTGTGGTTATCATTGATATGTAAAGGCACTTGAGTATCCAGTAGTACCTTTTCTTCCAGTTGATATAGATTAAAACAAAGTGCAGAATCTTTGAGAAGCCCTTGTGGTAAGACATGAAGGCTGCTGTGAGCTCGGTCCCCTTCATGGTACAGTTGCATTAAAAATAATGGAGATCTAGCATTTTAAGCCATTTATCCTGATGTTGGTAACTTCAGGAATCTGTGGTGTTATTAAATCTTGTTTGTGGAGCCAGTCATAATGGCAAATATTAAATAGCTGAGTTGTTTGTGACTACAATTGCTTGACCTCTGCTAAGTGTTGGAAGCTCTTTTTGCTGTGCTTAAACTAGTGAGGGGGTGGTTATGGTAATGTCAGCACAATAATTCCTTTCGTGCCAACAACAACTCTGCACCCTTTGCCATGTGGGATGGTCATGTCTTCTGCACCACTAAGGTCTGAGCCTGCAGTGGACCTGTTTGGACATACAAGCTGGTGAAATGTCTTTCAACAGGATCAGTTTCTTCTAGTTTCGTGTCATGAACCAGCTCCCTTAGGGATCAAGCCTGAGAAAACACACAGGATAGGGAGAAGCTGGGACCTGCCAACAGGCTGTACTTTAAACTGACTTCAGCAGCTGTGGAAGCATTCCCTGGGGGATTTAATTAGTCTGTGGTAGCTTGGTTAGAGCTGTTGGTGGTGTTGGACAAGGTGATGCAACATATTAATTGGGATTTTTTTTTCCTGTATGGGATACATATGCAAGACCCACAAGCTTCTTACGGGCATGTTTCACAAATTTAAATGCAGTTGTGGAAGTTGCATCATCCCTAATCTATAGTTAGGGAGTGTGAGTTCTAAAGTGGCCATACCTGGGGTCTTGAAAGAAATTCTACAATGGCATGATGAATTGAATTTGGACTGTGAGCCTTGGTCTAATGCTGTATGACAGAGCCATCCAGGCAGTGACAGAACAGCTTGAATATTTCTTGAAAGGCTACAGGAAATGTGTTCTGTGAAAGAATCAAGGCATGTGTAGTGTAAAATACATATTTTTTTTTAAAGCAGTACTGATCCCTTAACTACTGCAATATGTAGCAGGAATGTATAATGTCCGACTTAGTCACAGAGGTCAGAACAGAATAATCACTGATCTGACGTGTATTTAACCTGCACTGATTGGGTTCATGCTAGCTGCAATGAAATGCAGATGGGAATCTCACTGCAATGTAGACAAACTTCCTCAGCTCCCAACTTCAGCTTGGATTGGATTTTTCTCCTTTGCCCTTTCTTCTCCTTGACGTTCTGCAAGAGCAGCATTTTTGTGGTATTTGGTTAGAAAATACTGGAAGGGCAGTAAATCTCACTCCGGTTTTGAAGGTATTATAATTCTTGGGTGAAATATACTTTTGAATAGTACTTCACTATTGTTAAAAATGAAGATAGTGTGGGTCCTCCATCTGAGCTGGTGCTAGAATCTGTAGTTATCTAATCTCCAATACATTTAACCCCCCAAAAGTGTGGCTTCCACCTTCGTGTTTCTCCCTTGCTTGTGCCTTTTTTAATCAAAGCATTTAAGAAATGTTTAGGGGTTTCAGTGTGTGGGCTGAGTTAAGGCAGTTTGTGTCCTTAAGTGCCTTGGTAAAGCAACGCTGCCAAATGTGCTGCCACTGCAACTCGAGTTAGCTTCTGGCTATCCAGACAGTTCCTTCAAAGTTTGAACTGGTTAATCAAGAGTTTATATGTAATATTTGCTGACCAAACACGTTCAGTCATTCACCATTGCTCTTTAGCCAATTTGTAGGCTCAAGTGTAGAGAGAGACTCTTGAATTAGTAACTGAGCTAATCTGAACCAAGAACTAATCTGTCTTGGGGAGAGCATAGGATGATAAAAGTTTGTAAGTAATCATGATTGGACAAAATTAATTAGCAGGGTGCTATAAGGTTTCTTACTGAGTGAAATGCTGTGCGAACTTTTACTGTTTATCCGATCCTCTGTTGTACTGATTCCTGAACTTTCTTCTGGATGTGTTGTTGGAAACATCAATGAAATAAAGGACAAAAGGAGAAGTCTTACTGCTTAGCTGCTGCTGTTGACACAAATGCATTTAAATAAAAATCAAATGACTTATTAGTAAGTGATCCTCATCAGCTCACTCCCTCTCTCCCCCAAAACAAGCAAACAAAAAACCCAACAACCAAAAAGTGGAGAAACGACCAAAAAGAAACTCGATGGTACTTTTAAGGGATATGTCAAATATATTTAAAAGTGGAACATGGGATTGACCTAAAGTTCAGTTCTCTTGTGTGCAGTTTAGCTAGTAGTGTTTTTTTAATAAAATGATGGTATGAACCAACAGAATGCAAGGGTGTCTGGTTTGCATTGCTTTAACCCCATAGCAGTTCATATGCTGGATTTGGAGATCTCTGTTCTCTTTAACAGAGAGGTGTTAAGATATATTACCTCTGCGTGCAAAGGACGTTAGTGGAAACATGTTCCTTATCAGCAACGTTTGTTTGTTTAGAAGGGAAATAAAACTGGATTTATGGGAATGGGATGAAAAGTGTAATTAAAGGCTGTATATAAGCCAACTGAAAACCCCCAAAGCTGAGCAGCAGTCTCCTGAGCCACTTGCCACAAGCATATTTATGAATGCCTGGACTTCTTGAGGGCTAGTAAAAGCTCATAAACAACCCTGGGCACATTGTGTTACCTAGAAGTGTTTTGGTGAAGCATGAAGATGCTGCTGCCTTCCAGGACACAACAAGCCCTGCTCTCCGATGCAGCTTTCCCTAGCTCTGAGTGTACCCTGGGAACATTTCCTCCTGGCTCTGCAATCCTGCTGTCCCTGGGCAGCATCCACACGGTGGCAGCCGCCGGTTGCGGTGCTGGGAGCTGGACAGGGGCTGTGCTCCCTCTGCTGCATCGTCCATCACGCATTAATGCTGATTTAATAAGATGCACGCAGCCAGATGGTGAGCCCAGCCTGGGTGATCTTCCTCACTTTGCTTAGAAATGGTGCTCGTGCATGAAAACTACAAGACGTCGCCCTTTTTCCCCCTATTTGCTTTGAGAAAAAGCTGAACAAAGGATATTGAGTGAAAATATGTGTAAGGATTTGCACTGACCGGTTGTTCAGTTTCACTTTTAGCATTAGGGGCACTTTCAACATGCCTGCTTTGCCATTGGAGCATACGTGTAGCTCAGTATGCTAAATGTATTTTTATACACTCAGTTCTCCGAGGACAAACTATTTACATGGCTTTCCCAAGTATATTAAGTTTTGCTAGAATTGGGCCAAGGAATAAATTTTCCGTTCATTATGCCACCAGACAGAGCAGTCGTCAGAGCTTAACTTTTCTTTTCTCCACTTACTGAGGCAGTAAATAGTAGAAGGCCTTCTTTTAAAGATGAGACTGTAAACTGCAGCGTTAGCATTACAATGATTTATGTAGAAAATTGCTTTAGCGCTGTCAGAGGCCTTCGGAGTATAATGTGGCAGTCTTTCATGTTTGAAGAAACTGAACAGAAAACTAGAAGAAAGACTGCAGCGGGATGCCTGCCCGAGGTTGGGTTATCAGCACACAGCTTCTCCCTGCTGGGAGTCCTCGGGTCGGGTGCAGACGTGGGCATTTCTGTCCCAGAAACCCTCAGGTTTTTTGGGCAAACGCTGTGTGGGTTTTTCTAATTGGCTCACGCTGCAAATTCTTCCTGGGTTAGTTTTACCAATTCTCTGAAAGGTTTTGAAATGACGTCCGAGGAGGTTTGGATAGACAGAGCTCTGTTTGCCCAGTGACTCAGTGATTTACTTTATTAAAAAATAATAATAAAATAGATATTTTTTGGCTGCTGATACCTTGCTAATCAAATTAGGGATTTACCTTTTGGAGTCCACTTTTTGGAGTCAATTTTTTGGATTTATTTCTTTTATTACTTGCTTTTTATTCTCTCTTGCCTCTAAGCCATGCACAGGATGTGAAGAGGCATTCCTTGCACTCACACATACAATTAAGCCACTGTTTCAAAGTTGTGCTTTTGTTTGAGTTGACCCTTTCAGTAACATGACCTGAAATTTTTTCCTCAGAAGTGAGATTAAAAGAAAAAAAGTCCATTAGGAGCATGTTTTCCATTGATTCAGTGGACCATTCTATTTTTCTGCTTCCCTTTCTCCTTTGGCCTACGATTGCTTTTCATATATATTGAGTTCTGTGCTTAATAAAGATGCCTTTTAGTTCTATCTAACACTTTTTTTTTTTATTGTCTTACACCCCCTACTTTTTAATGCACTGGGCTGGCAGGGGTTAGATGAGCCATTTTATTAAGCTGGTGACCGGTGATGCTTCTGTGTTGGTGGTAAAGATGAATGAAAGAAACGTGTGAGTGGGTTTATCCTTCACAGGATTATGTTTCAGAGTGCAATGGATGCTGCTGCTTGAGAAGGTGAGAAATGAGGAGGGCTGAGTTTTTCTTGTGGCCTTTTCTTAAAGCGATCATTTTTAAAGTAGTCCCTTATTTAAAGGTGGCAGTTCTAAACTGTGGATGGATCTGTCTTCCTTGGATTGTTCTCCATAACTGGATAGAGGAGAAATGGTTGGGTAAGGTGACTTTAACTGTAGAATAGCTGAGGATGCTTGAAGTGGAAAACCCTGAACCTTTTTGAAGTTTGTGCTTCTCCTCTGGCTGTGTTACCTTGATTCACATGAGGTTTTGGCCTACGCACCAGAGGTTGTCTGGGGCTGAAAAGGAATTTTGTTTACTTAGAGCTGGGCAAAATACTGAGCCTTTCCATTACTTTTTCTCTTGAGCACAGAACTAATGCATTTCTTAGTACATAATTGTGGTCTGGATCCCTGGAACAGAAGCTCACTATG